GAAGCATTATTTCGACTAGCTGTGCTGTACACAGACACAAAAACAAAAAAAACACACATCATTGTAAAATCAATACATTCATCACTTCGTTCAGAATCTAATTGGATCTACAATAATTAAATAAAAGCTGATAAAGTAATAAAGCTCAAATTTTGTTTTTGGTTAAGAAAATAGYTTAAAAAGAGTCGCGATATTTCAATAATATTATGATTTAAAGAAATAATTAAACCTTAGGGAATTTTTTTTTTGAAATTCATTGAAAATTTCAGCTATATAAGTACAGTTATTTTTTTAGAGTTATACTTTAAAACAAATAGGTTTTTTTCGAATACTGATTTTATATAAGAATCTCAATTTTTCTTTTATTTTTTGGTTGTTTTTGTGCCGCTTTTGAAAACTATTGAGAATTTTAAATTTTGAACTTCTGAATGCTTCAACTAGATTCACTTTCCCACTGGAAAAAAATGCTGTTAAAGAAAATCACAATCCCAAAAAATGAAAATTGAACACACATAAGATTATTATATATATTATTAAAATATATATTATGAAAATTGAAAAAGGGTCAACGAGTCAGTATCAACAGTATTATTATCTGCAGTTAGTTCCACGTGATACATCGATACGAAAGGAAATTAACTCACTGTACGATACCTGATGATAATTAACTAGGTATAAAATATTAAGTTTCAACAATACTGAATAAGTTATAAGGTAAGGTAAAAACAAAAATAATTTACTAGTTAAGAAGTTAAGTTAATCCAAACAATTTAACTTTTTAACTCAGCTTAAATAATGTTACTTCAAATTATTTATAACCCCCTTTGAAAATAAAATATATATTATATCAGTGGTTTTATGAAAAAATTAATTTAACGTGACAATGCAACTAATTATTAATTTATAACTTATAAGTWATACTTCATAACATAGACAAAATTTAACTCGTTATGCTACATTGTTAACTTAAATTTCTTATATTGTTAATGACCAGATTCAGGGGCACCATTTCAGTTTTTTTTTTAACGATGTGCAAAAAAAATGAAGCTAATTTTTCCCACCTCCAGGCTCCAGGTTAATCGTCGAAAAAATGTTTTTCAACTTTTCACTATACAATTTTTAGTATCATAAACTCATATTGCTTTAATACATACCAAACATAAATTAATAAATTAAATATTAAAATTGTAGATACGTATCTTATCGTTCAGATTTTATTATTTTTAAATTTAATATTTTTACAGTATGTAGTCTTGCTTCGTATAGGTAGATGTGTGTTAATTTAAATTAAWTACATTTAGTTTTTTTGTAATTATCAGTAAATAATAACAAAACTGTAGGTGTTTCGACCACAACTACAGTTCACTCAGCTACCCCTAAATCCGTGCCTGAATACATTATATGTATAAATAATAAAATATTTTCATAAATATCTTCTTTTGAACATTACTATGCAATTAAAGGTGCAAGGTGCAACCATTATAGAAAAGTGATTAGGTTTATAGTGCAATTATAATACTTCTTGAGATATGAGACAAATGAATAATGAATAATTTACGATATTTTGAGTTGATGATTTGAAAAGACTGGAAAACATATGGTGACCCTCGTCCAATGGTCATCATTGTCCAGTGTTTTTTTATATCAGGCTATCATCAATTTTACTTTACTATTTAATTTGTCACATATTCACATATTTCCGTATAATAATAGTCATAGGACTTTAGTTGTTATTTTCTTAATTGCAAATATGCGTCGATTTATCAATAACAATTTACACCAGTGATTTCAGTGCGATTTTAAAATATTAGGTTATACCGATATCGGAAAATGGATTCAACACTAACTGTGAGTTTTTTTTATTATATTATTTCATACTATATAGTAGCTAGGTAATAGGTATACATCATCATTAAAAATATATCAGTCATTAATCATTACATTTATCTTCCACTCTCTCTATAAAATGTATTTATTATAGTTCACAAAAAAAAATCTTTCAAATCATAGAAGTTGTTTCTTTATATTTATTTAAAATCTATGTAGGTATCTACAAGATATAATGAAGTCTAAATATTCATATAAGAATCAAATAAATATGTGAAACAAAATATATCAATGTTTATAAATGATATATATTAATTATACTTGATTCATTTAAAGCCATTTAAGTAATTCTTTATTATTTATTATTTTTATTTAAAATATATTGTGTAAATTTGTTTAGAAACAGCATTATAGACCTTTAATATATTTTGAGAACATTTTGTTATCTTTCAACGTTTTACTTGTTGTCTTTTAATATTGCATCACTATTACTTGGTGATTTGGATATAACTTTATTTAATCAATGTTGACTAACAATATATGTGTCAATTTAAAGATAATATTTTGGATAATGATAAATGTTAAACTGTTAAACAGTAAACAGTTATTAAAACAATATAACTTAGTGCGTTCTAATTTAATATTCACAAGTCATTATATACAATCATTTAAGTAGGTACCTATATAATACTATAAATGTGAAGATATATGATTTGTAATCAAACAGCGAGAAAACCCCTATTAAAAACTAATATGTTGGATTTTGAGTGTACTTACACAAGGTAGTGTACATGTTGAAGAATTTTTTTTTTTGATTTGTTGTTTTAAATATTTTTTTATTTTTTATATTTTAATATATTTATTTATATTTTTTAATCAACAGAATGAGATTTTCATTTCACATTAAGTTGTATACATTTAGGTATGTTTGCACATTTATGTGTTTTAATGGTTAGGCATGATATTAATGCTTTATATGGTTAATCATTGATGAATCCAAAATTACTTGGAGGTTTTCAAGGTCACAAATGTATAGGAGAATAAAACTAATATCTACTAAATAGATCCCATATTAAATTATACTGATAATTCTATTCATATCCAAGATAATCTCCACAATTTGGGATACCTTGTATTTAGATTATAGACTTATTATTATTATTATTATTATGCGTATCATTGTGCTTGAAAAACATACATAGGTCTAAAATATAAAGAAATACAATCACCTGATGATCCAAATAAGTTAACTACTACCTATCTATTATTTTAGTTTACATTTAATTTGATTTGCCTTGAAGTATTTTTTTTTGGGAATCCAATTCTTTATTAATTTTAATTTATATGTTGGCTTCTAATGTGTGATAGGTACTGCCTTTGGAACTCTAATAATTTTCAGATCTGTTCTTAATGTGAGTATATTACYATTAAATTAAATATTTGTTTCTTTGGGTGGCAAATCATCTAAAATCTATGTGTTTGTGTCCTATTGATGTAATTAGTTCCCAGTTCTCAGCAAGGAATATTCTTCAATACTCCATACATTGATTGCTTGTCTTTGTTGGTTAGATGTAATTATGTGAAGTGTGAATGACCAATCTTATACTYAATCTATGGAGAAGCTAACTATCTTAGCTAATTATCCAGAGTTAGTTGTTTAACTACCACTCACATGTTACATACTAATTAATTGAATAGTTAATATGATTTTTATTGTAAATCTAGACTAATTACTAGCAATTTTAAGCATTATGTTATACAGAGTTTTCATGAGATGAAATAAAAAGATATGCTATTAATATAAATATTGTGTATTAGTGTTTTAATATTTAACAATTAATTACCTATATTTTAGAATCAAGATCCACTACTGAGATTAAGAGTGGTTGCTGGTCATTCACTTGCAAAGAAAGATATATTTGGTGCAAGGTAAATTTTAGATTATATACTTAATATTTTGTTTAATTCAATAGTATCTATATTAACTTAAATTATAATTATACATTTTTTTTAGTGATCCTTATGTAAGAATTGAATTGAACACTATTGTTGGAAATGTTGCAATAGATTCAGTTTTAACTAAAACTAAAAAGAAGGTAAATATAATAATATATGTTGTTATTTGTTTAATGATTTCATAAAATATTATGGATCTAAATGTTAAAATAAAATAAATTTAAATTTAAGATCTAGACAAAAGGTAGGTAGTCGTCTCCTTTTGAACTAAACATTTTCTAGAAATTCTAGAACATTTAGTTAAAGTAATTTTATTAAAATAAAATAAGTAATTTGTCTTGATTTTATTAAATTATAATACATTTTAATTGATAGAAGTGCCACACAAAGGTTTTTTTGTATTAGATTTTAACATTTTTCTATTTCTATTTTATAATAGATGCATTTTAAATTGGATTATTTTCATTACAAATAACTGAGAATAAAAGAAACTCTTGAACTATTTTATTTTATTTAGGTAGGTTTTGTGAAAATATATGTTTTATTTATTGATATCTGTGAGCATTTTTTTAAAGTTAGTAGTAGTAGGTAATATATTATGATTTTTCAAAGGTAAATTTATAGAAGTTATTTTCTTGGACTACAATAGTTCAGTTGTTTTATATTTTATTTTATTAGTAGAACACATTTGAAGAAATACCTGTTTTTTAATTTTCAGACCTTAAATCCGGTTTGGAATGAAGAGTTTGTGTTTCGGGTAAGTAATTTATTGTATTYTTATGGATGAAAATAATTGTGGTATTGAATTGTATTGTGTTAAAAAATATTTAAAATACTTTTCAAACCTATTATGTTTCTTTGTCGTTTTTACTTACAAATGATCACTTGCTAACATTTGTATAAAATAGAAGATCTAACTTTATTGATATATTTCAGGTCCGTCCTCATGAACATAAATTAATCCTGCAAGTATTTGATGAAAATCGTCTCACTAGGGATGATTTTCTAGGAATGGTTGAAGTACCATTGAATAATGTTCCAAAAGAAATTATTGGCAGAAATATATGCAGTCTTCAATATTTATTAAAACCTAGAAGGTTTGATGAATTTAACTTTATTAGGGGAATTTTAATCTAAACCTTATAACTTGAATTTAAATATTTATTAAAACTTTTAGTGCTAGGTCAAGAGTAAAGGGTTATCTTGAGTTATATCTAGCTTACGTTCCAGAACATGAACCCGGAACTTCTGGTCGCCTATCTGCAGATGGCGAATGGGAAGTAATTGAAAATGCTGAAGTTTTAAACATTTCTCACATACCCTCTGTAAGTTATTAATTGGATGTACTTCTGTTCTATCAATAATTATTTTTATTTTATTAGTCTTATACACCAAATGTTATTGAACCACAAGGAATGTTACCTTCTGGTTGGGAAGAACGACAAGATGCTAATGGGAGAACTTATTACGTAAATCATTTAGCTAGATCTACTCAGTGGGAAAGGCCAACAATAACGTGAGTTTAATATTGATGTATTTGTGATTGAATACAATTTTAGTATGTTTGATGATGAGGAATTTACAAAATACCAGTTTTCTCTTTACTTGGATTTACTTAAAAATAATATGTTGTAAGTTTTGTTTTATGAGTTAAATACTATATTCAGTGTTTTAAATATTGTAAGAATATATATATATATATAWATTTTTAAATTAATGTTTAAAAATAATAATTATGAATGATTTGCAGTGAACTTTATTTTATTATTTTAGGGATCTATCTGATGCAAATACAATTCAAAACTTGGCATTAGCAGCTACAGAATTTGAAAGAAGATATCATATCAGTGTAGATACTCCAGAAACTGATAAAGGTGATCCTACTCGGAAAAAGGTAAAAGTCATTATCAAGTCCATTATTTACAATTTATTTCTATTCTTATGTAGAATGTTATATCCTCTATATTTTTTCAATGTAAATTGAGTCTAGGTGGTTTGGAACTCCTCTTACTTATGCTCATGAATCATGATAGTAATGCTTACCATTATTAAAAACTTCTAAACCTCACTTGCTGCAGCAATTTCTTTAAAAAATGTTTTGCAGTTTTACTTTACTCATATCGAAAATATTTAGAATAAAAACAACCCGTTTGATTACTTTTTGGAGTAGGAATTCTGAGGATATACTTTTTTTTTAATTGTTGAAAGAATTTATTTTTATTCGTGATATAGAAGAAAATGTATATCCAAAATATTGAAATAATTAAAATTCATTATTAGCTCTTAACAAACAAAACTAAAATTAAATTTAGTGAAAAATTGTTATTAAATTATTTTAAATGAATACATGTTTTTTTATTTTTATTTTCTTATTAATGAATGTCTAAATAAATATTACTAATACAGACATWTTTCATTTATTTTTTTACAATCTGTGATAGTATATTTTTAACTGTATATTTAAAATACATGCTTCTATGTTGCCATTTTATATATTGTATGTTAAAAGGTTGTTCAAAGTGATGCAGATGACGAGAGTGATGAAGGATATGAAGAGTCAGATCCACTTACTAACATTGATCGTCGGCTTTCCAATTTATCAGCAACAGCTGATCAGAATCAGGTATGCCTGAAGTATGGTTATATTTCCATATTAATTGAAGATTTGAAGAAATAATAAATTGTGTGCATTCTTTGTGAAACTATATTCTACTAAATTTAATTAGAATTATATCATTGTGTTAAGTTAATTACATAAAGCCAATACTATATTTGTAATAATGTTTTAGAGTGATCAAGTCGATTCAAATGAACAAAGTAGTACCACTGTAGTCCAAGAAGATGTTCCCGAAGGATCTGATGGTTTACCAAAAGGATGGTCTATGCAAGTTGCTCCTAATGGTCGAACTTTTTTCATTGATCATAATACAAGAGCAACTACTTGGGTTGATCCTAGAACAGGTAGGGCAAGTTCAATGCCTAATCAAAACCAACCACTAGCAGCTGATCGTGTTGTATCTACATCAGCTTATAATGATGAGTTGGAACCTTTACCAGAAGGATGGGAAGAAAGAGTTCATGCAGATGGAAGAATATTTTTTATTGATCATAGTAAGAATACAATTATTATAATATTAAGTCAAAAATTGATTTCTGATTTATACTAGGAATATTAAGAGGTTTACAAAATTCCATTATTTTTTTGTAAATAGATTTGTAGTAAGCGTGTTTTACATATAAATCTACTGGATATTAAATGTAGTTATTTGTTAAGCTAATTTTTCTATTTTTTTAACACTTCTAATGTTTCAAAAATAATTGAAGATTTTTCAATTTGAGTTTAATATGTTTACATAGGTTTTTTAAATACCGTGATTTTACCTGATTATTATAAGATTTATTATATTATATTTTATATATCTTATGAAAAYAGRGTAGTGTCAATGGTAGAATACTTTTATAATTCGGTTAGATTGGTATGGTTGTTTTTAAAATATGGTACATTTTAGTTATAACTAGGGCTTAGGACTTATTGTACAAACATCTAAAATGTATACATTTTCATGCTCTAAAATTAAGCATTACAAGCTTGTATTTTTTGGTTTACCTATAGATACTTAGAACAATGAAAAAGAGTTTATTTGCTTGTATTGTAAAATCATTTACAATCGTTTATCAATTACGATAATCGATTAATCGATTGATGTTTTTATGTAAATTTTTTAAATAGATAGTTATTTTTAAATTCATTTTAATTTATGATTTATATTTTAATGAAAAAACAGTTTGTAAGCAATACTAATTTATTTTAATATTTTTATTTAGATACAAGAACAACTCAATGGGAAGACCCTAGATTAAATAATCCCAAGATTGCTGGTCCTGTAAGTTTGATATTTTTTTACATTTAATTTAGCAAAKATCTATAAAAAAGTTTCTATTTTAAGGCATTACCTTATTCTCGAGATTATAAAAGGAAGTATGAGTCTCTCAAAACAAGACTGAGCAAAATGGTAAGTCACGACAAATTGATTTATAACCAAGCAGTATTTCAATTTCTTAATTGATATATTGAATATTTTATAAATCAAATACTTTATTTTTATCCTTTTTTGTTACTCTTGACTTCAAGATATCAATAATATATATTTATTTTTTATTAATCTATACTGTTATTATTAGGCTCATGGGCCACCTGCTAAAATGGAGATTAAAGTACGACGATCAAATATACTTGAAGACTCATTCCGAATTATCAACTCTATGCACCCAGATAAATTAAGAGCAAAATTATGGGTTGAATTTGAACAAGAAGTTGGACTTGATTATGGTGGTCTAGCTAGGGAATGGTTTTTCTTGTTGTCTAAAGAAATGTTCAATCCATATTATGGTCTTTTTGAATACTCTGCAATGGATAATTATACACTACAAATTAATGCTATGTCAGGGTTATGTAATGAAGAACATCTTCATTATTTTAAATTTATTGGAACTGTAGCTGGTATGGCTGTTTATCACGGCAAATTATTAGATGGTAATTATAATATAGATGCAGTTGTTTTAAATATATATGTTAAATAAATATATGAACATTTGTTTATTTATGTAGCATTCTTCATTCGGCCTTTTTATAAAATGATGTTGGAAAAGCCCATTGAATTAAAAGATATGGAAAGCGTGGACTCAGAATACTATAATTCACTTTTATGGATTAAAGAAAATGACCCTTCTGAATTAGATTTAACATTTTCACTTGATGAGGATAGTCTGGGGCATACATCTCACAGAGAATTGAAACCCGATGGTGCAAATATTCACCTAACACAAGAAAATAAAGACGAATATATTAGGTACGTTTGTATAAAATATTTGTTCAATTAAAAATGTTAAATTATTTATAAAATCTATTAAAATCTATACATAATATTTAGTGAAACCTATGAAATATTCATGTATTATTTGTTTATTATATTTAGTTTAGTGATTCAATGGAGATTTGTATCCCGTATACAAGAACAAATGAATGCTTTTCTACAGGGTTTTGGTTCCATTGTACCTTTAAGTTATATTAAAATATTTGATGAAAATGAAATGGAACTTTTAATGTGTGGTATTCAAAATATTGATGTTAAAGACTGGAAAGAAAATACTCATTACAAAGGAGATTATTCACCCAACAATATTGTGATTCAATGGTTTTGGAGAGTATGTAAATTTAATATTATTATACATTTACACTAAGTTATAATATATTTGTATGAGATCCTATAAATAAAAGAAAACATGTATTATGAATATCAAAGAAGGTTAGGTTATATTTGCACATTTTCAAGTTTCATAATGTATATATTAGGGATTGAGAGGAAGATAGAAATAGAAAAAGAAACAATAATAGGTAAATTACTTTTAGTCATCCAAGCTAGAACTTAAATATTAATTTTAGCCAATTTAATTAGATATAAAATTATGAAGGAAAGAATGAAGAATTCAATAATTCACAAAAACTTTGATTAAAACAGAAAAAAAATCAAATAAATTCTAGACGCTGCTGTAAAAAAGAATACTATTGATAGTTTTGTCAAAGAACATTTGTTTTATGGTGCTATTAATCCAAATTTAAAATAATTCAAGTTATAAGAATCTCCTCTGACATTCTATATTAATTGTAGGCAAAGTGTCTCAAAGAATGACACCATATTTCAGAATGGGGAACTATTACTATTTTCTCATAAAAATAAAACAACCATCATTATAATGTCAAGTAGTTCTTAAATCTTTTTCCCATTAATTTGTTTCATGACAACCATTTTATTTTCTAAAAAGATTTAATAAATACAATTTTTTAGTTAGTTGAGTTCCCTTTAAAATTATTTTTTTTGTGATAGTGTAATGTCTCTATACTTAAAATGTTAAGATGTTGGATTTTTCATTTCTTTTATTTGACAATTTTTTCTGAACTTAACAATTAAAACTGTTATAACTCATATTATAGATATGACTAGTAATCATCTATTTTCAGTTTTGTCGCCCCATAATAATGCATGTTTAGGTTTCTATCATTATACTAGTGCTAAGTGCAATGGTGTACACTTACGATGAAGGGGGATTTCAAAATGTTTTTATGTAATTTTTCCCATTGAAATTATTTGTATATCTTATATTACTATACTAGAAGCCAATTAACTGTTATAGCTTGTTGGTATTATAACATTTATAAAGTCAAATGTTTGGTAGTATTTTGAATCAGTGTATTATAAATTATTTATACATTTGTTATAGGGTGTATTATCATTTAATAATGAAATGAGATCAAGACTTTTGCAATTTGTAACGGGTACATCTAGAGTTCCGATGAATGGATTTAAAGAGTTATATGGAAGTAATGGACCACAATTGTTTACAATTGAAAGATGGGGCACCAAAGAAAATTATCCCAGAGCACATACTTGGTAAAAAAATCAAATTATTCAATTTTCGTATTAAATACATTTTTTTTTTTATAGTTTTAATAGGTTGGATCTTCCGCCGTATGAAAGCTATCATGAACTGAGAAACAAATTAATTAAAGCAATTGAAGGCTCACAAGGTTTTGCTGGAGTGGATTAATGTGAATTCTAAACATTATATACAAATTACAGGAGTTACCTTCTACCAAAAGCAAATCTATGTTACAGTAATAACATTACCCCTTCAATGATCACATGTGATATGACTATAACACTAGAGATAAATAAAAAATATAAAATAATAATCATTCCAAAATGTAATATTAAAGGATTGTAATTAAAATGTTAGTATTATGATTTTATATAACTGTTAGAACAACATTTTTAAGTCRCTTATTAGTAATGGCAATATATTTTTATAGAATATTTTTTTTATTATTATTGGGTCGAATTCGTCATCAAGGTAGCTTAGAATGGCTATCTGTTGAATTTTTGTAGTATGTATACATTTATAATTATTCRTATAGGTATGTGACTTACAAGTTACAATCATCTGCTTAATTATAAAGACTTATTTGCTATTAAAATCATAAGTACTGTTATATCATGTTTTTACAATGTGCAATTTTAAAAATCATTATATTTCTGTATACAATTTACCTAATTATTTTTATTTATTTTATAACTAAAAAAAGTTTTAACATATTTTTGATTGTTGATTAATGAGTGGAATTTAAATGGAGGATCTGAACTTCTTGGCCTATAAATTTTATATTTGTTTTCTCAGATTAGACATATGAATTTTAATCGAATATATTTTTAATAATTTATATTAAGCCAAAAAAATGTTAACATTAAATAGAAATGTGATTCACAAATGATATAAATAATTTTCAAATTTACAATATTTGGTTTAAGAGATAAGTTGTATGTATTAGTAAAATACAAAACAAGTCATTGGGATAATTTGCATTTTACTGATACGATTATTTGAAATTTGTAACCTATCATATAATCTAATAAGACTATTCATATTTAGTAAATTGTGTACCTAATATAGAAATTGTTGCATCGCAWGGATGTTATATCATATTTTTCAATTTTCATTGTAGCTATAATTTTTTTTTGTAATTATGACTTATCACCCTAATTTGAAAATTTCAGTGATCCAACATTATTAAATATGTAATAGTGTTTTATAAAATTATTGTTATTATTTGTATTTGTATTTATATATATATATATATATATTTTTTTTTTTTGAAGTATTTTTATACTTCATATTTATTTTATTATAACTATTTTTTATTTTTTTTGAACGAAATTATCGTTTTTATAAATAATATACATTTATGGTGTCACAATTATATTTTGAGTCTTGTGACTAGGTTGATACTTTATTGTTGTTGAATAATTAATTGTACTTAAAAATTTTTTTCATTCACAATATACACAACACTAGTGTGAACTAAGTTTATTATTTTTTTTTAGTAAACGGTACCTTACTACAGAAATTGCACTTACAGTCTTAAATATAAACTTTAATTCTAACTGTTCGTACATATAATATTTAATGATGTTTACGAAGTGACAGAAATTTCAACTCGCTCATATTTTACACACCTGTTACCTTCTCCCGGGGAAATAACRTCAAAAATCTAGCCGCCGGACCGAGAATCGAACTCGGGTCTCTCGCTTGCCGGGCGATTGCTCTGCCACTAAGCTACCCGACCGCATAGACCCATGACGCTATATCCCCAAGTTAACCTGATGTTTACATTCGACCATCCTAGCTGCGTCCTCCGATCGCCCTCGATCAACGCYGGTCCCTCGTCGCCCACCGCGACCGTTGCTTCACYACCTGATCACCAGAGTGCACGACCCGTTAACACAAACGCGATTGCTTCCGCACAACCTCTGGTGAACAAGTCCAGGTCCCTCACAACACACGTCACACTACGTTCTTCGGAYCAAATCCTACTTCTGATTTATGTTAATTCCCCGGGAGAAGTTAACACACCTAATATGTAATATATTTTTATTATTATTGAAGTTAATAATGTAAAATATACACACAAAAAGACTTTATCAAATATTATGTTTGTTTTGTTTTTGAATAAAATATACAAAACTCAAAAGTTTTATTATTTTCATCTTACATATACATCTTTTTTTACTGTTAAAATGTTTTTGTATTAAATTACTTAATTATTCCAGTTTGAATACATTATCATTAAATTGAAATTTTTTTAATTATATCAGGATAGTAATGCCAAGACATTAATTGTTAAACATTTTAACTTTGTAGTTCCCTTAAAACGACAAGATATTTTAATTTAAAAATATATTATGTTGGTTGTTAAATATTATTCAGGACACTTGATGTTCCTTTAATCCTATAAAATTGTAGGTATTTTTGTTGTATGTGATCTATATTTCTTACTAACTACAGTATCATATAATAATTATTACACATATTTTTCATTTTCTATACTGGCTGTGGCCCAAAGTACAGTTACTAATCTTATAAAATTAGGTAAACAATACAAAAATGTTATTAATGTAGATGAGATAATTCTTGTATAGAAAAATCAAATATTAGGAGGGATAAATAAATACATTAAGAACTTATAAATTTAAAAATCGATCTTTTTTAGCAATATACATCACTCTGTAGAGTGGGTGATTACAGTAAAGGTTTGTGCTACATAATAGCAAAGATAAAGCGTAGGAAGAACGAATCTAGACACAAGAWATTTTAAAGTTAATCGTTGTAAGTAGTTCAGGATAATAAATCGACCCATCTATAAGGAAGACCTTATTACTCATCTATCAGTCAAGGATTGTAGATATCTTTTAATACTGGTTGATAATTGCTTACTTTTAATAAATAGGCAGCAAAACTTAAATCCTTCCAAGATGGTTCATATCAATTGTGGTATGAGAATCCCAAATTACAACATCAAACTCTAAATTAGATTTAACAAGTGGACAATGCTTTTGAAGGAGCAGTAATTATCTATAATTTGAATTTGTTGCGCTTTACAGCATGACACATTAATATGGGCACAAAAAACATTTCGGAGGTAACAAACTCACAACCCCCAACCCTTACATTGGTTGCGCCACTGCCGAGTAGGAAGTATTTAAATTCAAAGCAAATAGAAATTTCCAACTTTGCATAATTATAATAATTTAAGTGTAAATTTAGAATTTTAAAAGTTTCTATAATAATAGATAATATATAATATATATTAATATATAAATAATATAATATATAATATAGATTTAATTTGGAGCTAAAAAAATATTCTACAACCAGTAAATGCTTTGATTAGAATTTAAAATAGTAAATTGTACTAAAGAATTAAAAATAAATAAATTTTATTAAAATAACTATTTTAACATAAAAATAATGTATGCATATAAAAAGGTATTATTATAAATAAATAGATAATATTTATGTATTACATTAAGTAATTTTTACAGAAAATAGTATAAAATGAAAATATTGTTAATTAATTCATTTTTTATATTAATATTAAATTATTATAATTTTTGTGTAAAAATGTATAATGGTTTAAAAATAGTATTGATTGATGCATTGCATAAAAGAAAATAACCTAAAATAATTTCATATACTAATGTTCTAGTTAGTATTTAACATAAATACACTGTATTAAATAATAAAAATTTAAAGAAAATCATACTACATTAATATATTAAAACATAAATAAAATGTGCCATTTAGTGTATTTTTTTTTGTTTACATAATAATCATATCAAAATTAAAATTAATTTTTTTGATTAAACATTGCAACTGTTTGTGTAGTCTCCATGTTAAAATATATACTCATCTCACAATAAGAATGTGATTCTTCACCTTAGTGGCGAAACGGTTTTCACTCTTCAATTTTGCCATAGTATTTTATTATCAACGCGGCTGTGCACAAGTTTTTGTGACCAGTAGAATATATTAAATAGCAAATTTAAACGGTTGAAAGCCATTGATATTTTTGCCATTAAATTAGTAAGCTTATTATATTAAAAATAACAGAATAAAACGGATTATTTTGAACATAAAATAAAATGATACYCTTTAYTTATACCGAAATAATAAATTTGGTTACAACATTCTCTTGATAAAATAAAAATAATAATAATCAAAACAATTGTAGATAATTAAATAATTTATTAAATAAAAAATTAAATATTTAAAACTAATGGACAGATTTTTATACTTCTAATGGACGGATTTGTCTTTTATTTAAAATATCTTAATTATGTAAATGTTTATTAGTGTTATTGATCATAGAAATTACGTTCATGAGGAGGATACATTTGCATGACTAAATTTTTGCTCTCTCTTCTTTGTTCATAAGCAATTCGTGCGTCCTGAAAATAATAATATACCTTTATTTATAATGATTCAATAAATAAATAAATAAATAAATATTCAACAAACCTTATACAAATACCATGTTCCATATGCATGCACAAAACCTGATACAATAGCAGTATAAAATGACCACGATAAATGGTTGTAAATAGGATACATCAGCCAATCACGTGTCCAACAGTTGTATGGAAAGAGGCATACAGTAAGCAATATCAATACACCTGGAAAAAATGAATTTATATTTTATAAAATCATGTGTCAAAAGGTATGACAAATGTCAAATAATAATATATTTTTCACAAACTAGTAGTTGCAGCCGCTAAGAAACATGCAGCTGATAATATATACTCATATTTAAGTACAAGACGTTGTGGATATCTTGTTATAACAGCAGCAATTATTGCTAATGTTCCAAGTGATAACAATACTGCTAAAGTCATGCAAAGTTCCAAAAACAATAGCCAACCTTTAAAAATAAACATCATAAGCCATGAATATTTTAACTACCTACTAAAAAAATGTAAACAAATGCATTGTAATTTATAATCAATTATTACTAACCTGGCAATAACCATTCTCGAATAACATAATATTCTTCACTGAATACTGTATTGCAGCCATCAAATAGTTTTTCAAATTGATAATGAGGGTATCGAAAGTGATCAAAACAGTATGTCCATAAGCCCATGTGCTTAAAATTTATGAAAGCTTCGTCATATGATTCCAACCAATAAGGGCTAAAAATATTAATTCATTATATTTTAATAAGTGATGTGAAAAATGTTTGTAAGTACCTTATAAATGCAATGATTAAGAGAAATCCTCCAATGTAAATGATGACACCAGCATCAGTAATTAATTCTAGAATAGGATAAAATGTACAGTTATAAATTATCTAATTTTCAGCTTAAAAAAATAGTCATAGATAATATATTCACATATTTTATAAAAATTGTTTAATGTTTTTAATTGTATTACATTCACTAAGTAATGCTTTAATATCCTAAAAGGCTTTAATATGATAAAATTATACAGTAGAACCTCGATTACCCAAACTAACTGCGACTGCACCTAGTTTGGATATGCAAAAGTTAAGATATTGAAAATTAGAAGGATTATAATAATAACAATTTTAGATAGTAATATACAAGAATCAATTTTACGTAGAATCAAAAAATAAAAGAAGAAATTGAGATATTATTATGCAGTTTGTAAAAATCAATGGTTTTTTGATACAGAACATATTAAAAATAAATCTAATATTGGCATGGGACAAATTTGAATATGTTACTTTAAAGTAGGTGACAACCATACATACAATTAATACAAAGAAATACTCGTGATAACCAAGAGAGTGGAATTTTGTAAAGATCAATTAGCACTATTTGCAGTATTCATGAAGAATAAAGTAAAAAGGTTTCCGGATATTCAAAGAAAAATTAGTAGGAAGAGATTCACCTTGAATTTTCTCCTATTTCTTTATTCAAAATGAAAGAACTGACCAAAAATAAAATGGAACCAGTCTCAGGACAAAATGAACATGTTTACTCATAATAAGGTGATTCACTGGTCCGAAAGCCTTTATAAATAATTATAATACAAAGTGTATGGTACTATGGTGTTAAACAATATTATTATTATATTAAAAAAAAATGATTAAATTAAATTTTGTATAAAATAATAGTAAAATGAACAGATACGATTACAGTAATACGATATTGATATAATGTAATGCTTACTAGATGCTTTTGGATAGTCAATTTTGTCAGAACTCATSGTAATTAGTGGCAATTACTGTTCTGTAATACTTGAATAACTAATAGCATACGATGTTGAATATGATAAGTTATAACTTACAATTTAGAACATGTATTTAAAAATAAAATTATAAATTGAAATTAATAAAATAAAGGAAGGTTGTTATTAAAAACTAAAATAGTAAAATGAATTTGAAATTATTAATTATTTGATATTTATTGGTATGGTATTAAGTATTTACGACTGAGAGCGTTGATTCAAGCGTTCACGCCTTAGATAACAATTCTGCTTATACTACGTCCTATACAAAGTCAGTTATGTTATTAAACAAACCGTGGTGGATATATTATTATGTTTATCTACCTTGGTTCTGTGTTTACTGTTTTAAATTACTGTTCTATGATATTACTCGATTCCTTGAAAAATATCAGCTGTTTCTATTATCAAATGAACTATTATTTCATAAATATTTTTAAGTTATCCAATATCCTTCGTGGTTTGTTTTTTTGCGTAATCGCGGGTGATATTTGATATTTTTAGTTAATAAAATTAATTTAGATCCTGGTACATTTAAAGGAGTAAGTATTTCTTTACTTATTTTTTTTACAATATAATAATCAAAATTAATACTTAAAGCGATGGGTGGTCATCACGAACATGAAATCAAAATACCAGATTACAGAATATATAAAGTTGATAATGTACCGGAACTTGTGAAGGTGAAGAATATTCTAGCTACCGAAGGTCTTAAAGATCCGTGGTTGAGGTAAAGTTACTTAAAATGTATAGTAATTTATAGTAGTTTTCAATGTACAAAAGCACATACCTAATTATTTTAATACTGATATGATATAGCTACTATTTCTTTATAGCGTACTCGCAATTTGTATAGTATAGGTTTAGCCGTATAGGCATATTTGTTAACTCTAATTTCTGGTCAAGCCTGAGATAATTTACATTATAGTRTACCAATTCTTGGATGTTGCTCGTTAATTTAAAAAAAAATAAAATAATATCAACATAACTTTGTCGTACTTATAAATTTAAAGCTGATACCTATTATATGTAGGTAAAAAAAAATAAGTTCTTGATTTTTTTCATTTCTTTATGCAGAAAGTAATAACTAATAATAATCAATATACTTAACATATTTTTGTGTAGGTAGTTGAGTCCAGACTTGACCAGTTTGTCCAGAGCACGTTTATGCATAATATAGATGATTAATAAATTATATTAAAATATTATTGACATAGTTAACTAAATATTTCATTAGCTAAATACTTAGCTAGTACTAAGAGTTGTATATTATATAATTTATGTTATTATGTTTGAACTATAGGAATGAAGTTTGGAGATATCCTCCAAATCATGGTAGTCGTTATACACAATATTTCAAATGTTGGTTCCGTGGTAAACGTGGTCTTACAATTGCCTTTGGATTAGCAGCCTCTATTATTGCTGTAGAGAAAACCTATGAACATTTTTATCCAGCGGTTCATCATCATAGAAAGCCTTACTTTCCATCATCCAGTGTATAATTTAAGATAATAGTACGAAAACCAATGGGCTTCAATGACATGTCTAGAGGAATAATAATTAATATACATAAAGATCCTGTGCTATAATTTTTAGTTTTAGTATAATTTGTTTATATTGCAAAAACATCATTTAAAAATATATTTTATGAAATACAAAGATAAATTTAACTGTCAAGTAATGAATTATTTGTGAAACACATACACTTTGTATCATAAGTAAATTGTTTGAAAAATGGTTGTAATATAGAAAAAAAAGTAAYAGCATTATTCTCTTTTACTGTACTAAAATGTTAGAAATCTATATGATTTTTTCTCCTATGTTCCTACTAAAAAGTTTAGATGATTTAATCATTTAATTAGGCTTTGGGTGTTGAAAGAAAATTAAGTGTTTTTTGGTTAAAGAATCTGATTATAATATATATGTTTACTGGCGTTAATTGTGGTTAATTTGGATGTTAAAGAAAACCCATATACATCAAAGTATATATACAAATTTCAATGGAAACTGTTGTAGTAATCAGATTTTATTTTATTAAGTACAAATAATAATAATAAAAAAAAATTGTTTTRAATTAATAATTACCATATATCTCTCCCTTTTTTACTGAAAAAGTTTGTGTTTATCACTTATTTCGGCTAAAAATATTTATTAAATCGAATAATAGAAATACACCAAATTCTCTTACAACAATTATAATTTCTAAATTTTTGTATTTCATGATAAGTAARAAAAATCAATTTATTGGATCAATAAAAATCATTAATTCATGGTATAATATAACAGAAAATAAAATAAGTCACATAGGTACTGTGATTATGAGAATGCAGAGCTGGAGCGGACTGGCCAGGTGTGCTAGTGTGCCATTGAACTGCGGGCCGGGTCAATATATAGGCCGCAAGGCCTGGGCTCATGAACATTAATTAACGATATTAGTATATTACTAATAAATATATTTTTAAATATTAAATACCAAACAGTATAAAACTACTGCTAATGGTTGCCAGTTGGAACGATACTGTAATAAGTTATTACTTTGTAGTCGAAATGTATGTAATGTATCGACCCATTAATTAATTTAATATGGGGTCAGCTAAATATTACCCCTGTAAAATTTCACCAGGGATATTTTTACCCAAAGGTAAAAGTCYACTAGAAATTAAAGATTGTTATATTTAAAAATAATATGTTTGATTTAGGTATTTATTACATGTTTGAATTATATATTGATACTGTACATTGATGGCATGCACTGATAYTCGAGAAATAAGTAACTCTAAGCCTATTTATTTTAAATTAACAATAATTTAATCAATAAAACATGTACAATTACATTGATAATAATATAATATAACATAATAACATTGTAATGTTTCTGATATAATAACAGATTTAAAATTAACTTTATATTAAATTGGTGAAGTCGTTTCTGCTACATTTATTTGAAGATAAGCAGTTCATCAACTACGCTATTTGATCGACCAAGTCCAATTTGCCTCGTTCCTAAGGCTCCCAACAATTTTTGAGACGAAGTTSCCAATTTGGTCCTGTTTTCATGATACTCTTTGGCAAAATGCTAAATCAAATATTCATCAATTAAGTAGGTAACAAAGTAATTCAATAATATTATTTTGATACATATCATAAACAAATCATCACTGTGCTTAGATATACTGAACTTTGTAGGTGTCAATATTAGTGTCTCATAGAATAGTCATAATTTACTTACGACTTATATACTATTCAGTATTGGCATATTGCATCACATTGCTAAAGTTTAGACAAAGTCAATATTTATTTTTTTTAGCAAGAACAGTATATTCAATGAGCACCTCATCTTATCATACTTAGTCCAAATGATTGTTCTAAGATTTAATTAAGTTAAATGACTAATGTGAATATTTACTTTGTATATGGGATTATTTTGGAAAAGTTTACGTAAATAATGTTGATCTATGACAAATTTTAAAGTACTAACAAACCCAAAATATAGGTAATAATTAGTAAGTGTCAAAATGGCAAAATGCCAAATACCTACCTATACTCAATTTACCTTTGATATACATAGCTTTCAAAAAATATTTTAGTTCAATTTCGCTTCAACGGATTCTAAATTTATTTTACATAAAATAATTGAAGCTTTAACTTAAGAATTTGTTTCATTAAGTATTATACCTATAGTACTGATATTATACAGTTATTTAGGTTCATAAGMATTTTTGTTAATTTACCAAGCTCGTGTAAATCACACTCCTTATTAGAATTTCTGACTGTTGTTACAATTAACCGATTTAGCTAAAAAATTGTATTATTTATTTACTACCGCATTTTGATATCCAATTACAAATATAAGACGGTAAGCATTTGAGTACCATTTTGCTATATGTTAGGACTGTTAGGAATCATGTGGGTCACTGTAATGGAATGTGTAATTTTAATTAAATTGTAAATATCATTCTATATTTGTATATGAAAAACGATTCTGAGTGGAGATCGTCTGTTAGTTAGAATGTATTATAATATTTTTGAAGTGTAACAAAATAACTGAAATCGTTATTCTTCAATTTTTATAGAAATAAAAATAAAACATTGGTACACAATAKTGTGATATCAATACATATAATTGTACCACTGCTTTGCTCAGAATCTAAAGTAAAATATTTTGAAAAAATTGTATCTATAATAATTATTTGTGAAAATTATAATGAATTCTTATATTTATTAGGTTGGTAACTAAATTGAATGTGAAGGTATCTATAACGTAATTAATAGAYATTCATCAATGTTATAATGAACGGTATAACTATGTACCTATGTGAGTACTGAGTAGACACATAACCAATATTATACATTGACTATACAGTACTTACCCACCTATTTAAAAGTTATAACTTAGAATGTTTACCTGTAATTTATAAGAATTAAACATGGTTTTTTCTCTTTTCTTAATCATATATTCTGTAGGTAAAAGCCATCTATGTTCATGGCATTCTTCCGCTGATGGTCGTTTACTAAAATATAAAAAMAATTGATTAAAGTCAAAGATAGCAATTAAACTTCGAGGATAATGACTAGATTTGCAACTATTGTCTGCAAAATAAAATATATATATATTATTGAACTCTTTTTTTTTTTTTTTACCTATCAATTATATAATAGAATGTACTACTTACGTTGGTGTTCTTTTAAATAATAACATTAAGAATCTAGTGGCTTCTTGCGATAAGTCCTTGTACAGATATTCAAATCTATATCGGACGAATGTGATGTTTTGCCTAGTTTCCGTATCRTTAGATCCTCTGAACGGAGACATGCCAGATAGCAACGTGTATGCGATCACTCCGAGTGACCAAATATCGGAGTATGGGTACGCAGGTTCATCGCACAAAATCTCCGGCGCTGCATACGTCAAGAAATTAGTAGACAAACGAAACGGTAAGAAAAAAATACAATGGTTACTGACTAAATAAGTGAATAGTGATCACCAATCGATGGCGGAATTCGATATAAAATACCTGTGAACTCCAAGACGCTGTTTGCTCCTAMAACGGCTCCTAGCTTACTGACTTTCTGCGCGCATCCGAAGTCGATCAGTTTGACCTGTATGGTCCGCACGGAAGCCATCACTATATTGTCCGGTTGCAAATCCAAATGGGCATAGCCTCGCCAGTGTAAGTATTGCAATCCATCTAATACCTACGRCATGAAACGTATAAATTATAAACAAAGTGTAAATTACTACTTTACTTATATATAGTCAGGTCGGGTTTAGTTAGTGTCTAAAAATAACCTACCTAAACTGGTTAAAATGTATTCAGAGTTATGTTAATGCCTGCCTGCAGTATTATATTGAAGTAATAATATAATAGGGGGTCCCCGCCGATAAAAGCACTCCAAAAATTAGAAGCCCCAAAAATCTTAACTTCAATTAAATTTTAATTTTAGAATGTTTTATTTTGCAATCGAGTTGTCAATGTCGCTGTCCATAATGTGAATATAAATGCATTATTACCACAGAATATATGAAATTATTTCATATATTCTCTGTTATTAGTAGGGCTGGGATTTCGATGCACTTAGCATTGTTTTCCAAAGCTTACTGTGCGATGCTCGTCTGGTCACAAATTTGTTTTATGTACTTATGAATGAGAATAAGAAAGTTTATTTTGCATTGTTTAGGAGTTTTTAGTTTTTAGGTCATTTTCTTAATTTTTTAGGGCATTTTAGAGTTATTGTCTATTGGAGCATTTTTTGAGTTTTTGGAAACCAAGTATGAATTTGAAATTTTATTTTAAGATTTTTACACCAACATGGTTTTTATATAAATATGTGAGATTATAAGTAGGTAGGTACTCGTAATAAATTCGTATTATATTATTGGACAAGGTTTGAGTAAACACTATCCGTATTTCCTGTTAAATAATCTTAAGTCGGTAAAATCGACGTCCGATGATATCATTCGACGTTCAGTACGAGTTTTGTCGTTGTAAACACCGTTTTATTACTCTAGTTAATTTAGGTAATTTTTTGGGGTTTTTTAGGGCATTAAAATCCCAGTCCTAGTTATTAGTAATAATACTGGAATGAATAATGTAATAACTTATTACTATCGAATATTCATTCTTGTTTTTAATCTTAAACTTGAGAGGACGCTACACACATATTTTATTTCTAATTGTTACAACTGYGTAACATAGAAAATTTRCGGTTTTTTACCATAACTTAGTTTTTAAGTGAGTTATGAGCATTTTTAATTAACGCTTTTTATTTACACATAACTTGCTACAAAATTTAATTATCGTAAAAAAACACAGATAATGTTCTTCACTTAAAGTTTCATAATAAGTCGATTCACTCTAATTTTTAAACTAATCAAGTTAAACGTAATCTGCTTAGCGTAAATTTGGAACCTATGTTATGCACTTGTAAGACGGAGACAACAAATAGTTGTGTAGCACCGGCTCTCTTAACATTTTTGTTTTTAAAAATGGCTAATTTATTTCGGTGTATCCGAATTGGTTCCCAAATGTCCGTTTTTTCATATTTATTTAAAACTTAAATAATACAAAAAAGTTTTAATTTCTATATTTAATATGTCCATATCATATTTTACATGGTTTTAAATTATCAGTTAAAATAATAAAAAGTGAGTAAGTGGATGTCGCTTTGCTGTATAGTAGGTTACAAGTGGGTTACTGCAACAGATGGAATTAAATTTGAATTCAATGATATAATATCATTGTATATGAAAAACGATTGTGAGTGGAGACGGTTTGTCAGTCTAGAATATGTTATATATTAATTTTATTGTTATTATTTCAAAAACAAAAAAAATTTAGGTATCYTTAAAATAAATTCCAAATTAATCAAATCAGATTTATTATGTACCTGACTTATTATAAAGGACTAGCACGGAGGGCTAGTTTATTATAAAGTATTAATATAAGTCATTAACGGCATTAAATATTAATATAAGAATATAATCCTCTAGAAATTTAAATACCCAATAATAATATTTCTAAATTACAACAATATAACTAAAATTGTCATTCTTGATTATTTAATATGTAATTTCATCCAAATTTGAAATTAAAATACCTATAAAAAGCTGGGTTTGTATAGTTTTTAGATTATTTGCAGCAGAATTAACTACTTACGTGGAACCTTGTTTTAAATTTTCAATCCTTCGCTATAAAAGTTATAAATTTTATAAATTTTTAACAACTAAAGAATTTATAATTTTTCAATTACATCAAAATTTGAACTTTAAGTGGTTATAAAAAAAAACGTGCCTATGTATTTTAAATATTTTTTAACCATTATTATATAAACTTATAGGAAATCTTGTATTCAATTTTCAAGTTTTTTGACCCAATGAATACAATTTGTCGATATTTATAAAATAAAAAACTAAAAAAACGGAAAATTTCAAATGTCTATTAATAACTTAAAAATTGTTAAAATATTTTTGAAAATGTTATCAAGTATAGGAATTGATAAAATAAACATTTGGTGTAAATTTAAAGTTTCTGCAGTTATTGGTTTTTGAATAACAACAATATAAGAATATCGGCACAAGAGAAATTGAGTGAATACCCAATGTTGTAATACAAATGCTCATAAAAATTTAATTTGACTTTTCGGTAAAATTTTTATTTGATAAAAGTAAACAAACTCATGAAGAAGCTTGTATTGAATTTTCAAATCTTAGATTTGAAAGGTTAGATTTGAAAAGATTCATTTTTCGTGATTTTTACATATTTTGTCAAAATTCGAATTTTCAATGCTTATTAATAAAAAAATGTTGACTGTATTTTTTAACTATCATTGTGAGGTTATCACAATATATTAGAAACCTTGTATTAAATTTTGAAAATTTTTACCCAACGAACAAAATTTGATTTATAAAAAGATGATTGAAAATTTCAAATGCCTATAAATAACTTAAAAAGATATAAAATGTTCTGAAAACTTTATCAAGTATATAAAATGCCAGTTTAAATATTTAATGAAAATTTCATGTGTCTACGGTGATTTGTTTTAGAGTTACATCAATATCTAATATCAATTTTCTCATAAAATTTATTTTGCGTAAAAATTCCCGTTTTTCCTTAATTTTTTCTTTTGCTTTCCTGGTGATTTTGAAAACTACTGAGAATTTCAAAAATTGACCTACCCAAGGCACCAACTAGATTCACTTTCCAACTGGAAAATCTAGTATCTACTGAAGTTGAAAATCGAAGTCAAGGACTATTTCAATAACTTATCGTATACAGACACATAAAAAAAACTTWAAAAAAAACACATACATTATTCTAAAATCAATACATTCATCGCTTCGCTCAGAATCTAAAATGATTTAAAACATAAATATATTATGTAAACTATAATTAAGTTATATATTTTAAATTAAATTTCAAACCCATTTAAAATTCCCAAAAATACTATTTGTCTTTCTCTATTTTAAGTTTTTTTTTAACTAACATGAAATGCAAATTATTACTTGAGTGACAATCGTAGCAACGGTTTGTTCCGAATAATGTTCTTTTGTTGATAAGTAAGTCAGTATATCTGCTCCTTGTAATTTTTCTTGAATGAAAACAGCAACAGGTGCATTTTCTAGCCTAATATTAAATAAAAAAATGTAACGAATTCGTATTTAATAATATTAAAAAATAACAATCGTAAGTAGTAGGTAGCAACCAACAAAATAATGCAAGTGTAAGCACCACAAATCTATATAGGTAACTATAGCAGTACTATTATTTATTAACAAACTATGACACAATGTAATAGTACAAACATATTATATAATTTTATTGAATTTCACATGAGTTATTAAAAAGATATATACAATTACATATAGATGTATAGGTATGTTTCATCATGACCTGGTACTTGGTTTTATTTTTGAATATTTGTTATTATATTTTTTCTTTAAATAGGTACAAATGTATATACAATTGTATTTTAGTTGATAAAGGTTAGGTTAAGTAAATTATGTTTAAATAGTGTTCTATTAATTTAAATTAGTAATACAAATGTTAGTAGGTTCTATTTTAATTACACGTATTCGTGTATCGTTACAAAAATTTTATGCAAATTATTGTCACATTGTATAGATAGTAATTCACAAGTATAATRATTCTATTATTTTCCTTACTTAAAAGCCTCAATGAGGTATGCTATTCGTTCGTGTTTCAATGATTTAAGAACATTAAATTCGTGTGTAACTCGTGATTCAGTGTCGGGTGTAATCTCCAATAATTTCGCCACTACAATTGAATCATTTGATGTATTTATTCCTTTCAGTATGACGGAGAATCGCCCTCTTTTTGAGAAATGAATATAATTAATAGGGATATATACAAATAATAAATACTGGTTAAATCTATCTTACCTTGCTATTTCAGAAATAAAACGATATTTTTCTATAGGAGGCTGTTCTGCCCAATCTATTGGTTTATACTCAAGTGAATAATCTAAACTATTGCGAGGCTCGTCACCAATTATTTCTCGTCCACTTTCAGTTATTATCTGTAAATTTAACATCGCCGATGGAACTTCCAATTTTTGCGCATCTATTTTTGATCATCAAGTTTATAGGAATTTAAAGCTATATTTGATTAAGTTTTTAATTAAGGATGAATCTTACCGGGGAAATGTGTTCGAACCATTGGTGAAGATGGTCCAGTTGGACCCCAAGCAATATGGTTCATTGCTGCTAATCTGAATTCATAATTTGTGTAAGGTCGAAGGTTTTGCATTAGCCAAAATTCGTGATCAATATTTTTAGCCACCAATTCCCATTCACCTTCTATAATAAAGAATTATATTACGATTAATTGATATATTTAAATGGTTTAGTTCATAGATCTATTATACGGGGAGGTTCACCAAGCATGCTCACCACCATTTTTTCCAATAATAATTTATTTATTCAAATTTTGGTTTATGGAATTTTTAAACATACTTAAAGATAATTTGTTTAAATTCTTAATTTTTTTTTGTACTACTTAAAGATATTCTCCAGTGATGATACAAACTTCTGTTTTTAAAATGAGAACCCTCCCTCTTTTTTACT